TTTTTTCACTTGATAAATTTTATTCTTATTAACATCCTCAATTTTCTTGTAGCTATTACACGAGATGTCAACGCCAACCCTCTCCAACTCCCCATTCATTTTGCTACGTAAGGCGGAAGTACTCGGAAAGAGCCTGAGAGGTAACAATTGCGAAGAGCAATCATTCGCTTACAAAGCACTGTTCTCTGAGAACTGCTTAGAAGCAAGCTTGGTGAGTTTGACTCCCTGATATATGCCTGCATCAGTTTACTTTCGAAACGAATTAATAAATCGAAGAGGAGAATTCGAGCTTACTGGCGAATTCGAGCCGCCGACCTACAAGTGGAAGTCAGAGTGCTCCCAGATAAAGCAAAAATACACAAAGTGGTCAAAAACCAATGAGCTGAAGAAACAAAAATTGTACACTTCGACATTTACTAAAACCAAAGGCTTAAAAAGTGTCCCGAAATGGCTAATATTACAGTACCGATAAGTGAAAAACCATTAAACCAATACATCGAAAGAGGTTAGCGCAAGCATACAAATCAGATTGCACCAAAATCATGACAAAACTAGTAAGCTATTACAGACTGCACACAAATGTATCGATGATAATATCAAGCATAACATTCTCAAATGTTTTGAATCACATCAATGACCTGAATACTCCTGACCGAACTGAAAGACAGTATAATTTACCAATGATAAAAGCTTAAAACCACGATGCAAAATTCACAAGTTTTTTTTTAGACACCATATGCTTGGGGTTTTATCAGCGACAACCATGAAGGAACACCGGTTATCACACCAGGATTATCAGCGAACATATCAACGGGTTAAAAAGTTCCACTAAAAGCACTTGAAATGTCACAGCTTATTCAAAGTTTTTTCGAACACTTAGATATCCAGTCCAGTCTTTTTCAGATTGAACAAAAACAAATGTAAAGCAGATTAAAGAATAAATTACCTAAGAAATGGGATCGCCTGGATAACCAGTATTCAGGTCCATTTTCACTAGATATTCAAACGAGTAACAAAAAAAAAAAAATACCAAAAGTTAACTGCTGCGAAAATGCATGCTCAAAAATCAGTATTTAAATTACAGAATTATCATTATCGAGAATATGAGTAAAATGTAAAATCAATAAAAAAAAATAATGAGCAAACAATGATAACAAACAGACCAGCAATGCATTCTGCCCTTAGTTGGTGAAATACTCCCCACGATGGTCCAACAATGAAAGTGTTTCGAAAAAAGACAGCACACATCAAAAACATCTTGAAACAGCTAAAAAAGTCCTACTTATTGTTTTTCCGGAAAAATCACTGAGCCGGTAATTCTTCAGAAGACGAAACCAACATCACTTCTGCCAGCAAGCTGACAACCAAGCAAAAGCAACATTGGCCTAGATAAATGGAAAAGGTGACAGCTGAGGAACTACAATGTGAATTGAAGCTGGTCCAACTATTCCTGGTACTACACATCCGATGAATCAGACACTCGATTTGTGACAAGTTATCCAATTTTCTGCGTTTTGCTTTCCCAAATGAGAATTAAGGGTCCCCGAACGGAAGAAGACCACTGAAGTTCACCTTTTCAAAGGCTGTTTTATCATTGCCGGTTATCTGACATTATGAAGAACAATGCCGAATCAAAACGTATTCAAAACCCACAACTGGATTTCACAAATTAACACAAATTACATATTTGTTGTCTTCTCATTCAAACAAGTGGCAGCGCTCGGAGTCAAAGCACTGACATTCCATATACGTAATTGAATTTCCAAGTGGCTCAAGCCTTATAAAACTGTTTTCGTTGAGAGGAACACTGCGTCAATAATTGCTACGAAGATGAAAGGAGAGCCAAAATTGCCACAGCGCTGGCAACAAGGTGATGCAGAGATTTGGTAAAACAACCACAAAGCAAAAAAAGAGTGGCATAATTATCGGCTGAACCAGCGATTGGCTAGCAGCTGGTTCAAGTGAGTTCAAGTAAATAATTTACGAATGAAAGAATCAGTAAGACCCAGAAAGAGTGCGTTCAAATTTTCACTCAGTAAAGACTGCGATAACTTCATGATACCATAAATCTAAATCAACTTAATTTCATTGCCACAGCACTGCTTACAACAAGTGACTGTAATGTTCGATGTAAGCGGAACTGGCTTACGAATTTTTTCATCACATGGCGAACGCTCGAAAAATGTAGACAAATCAACTGCAAGTGCCAATTTACTGCGGTCAACCAGCTCATCCAGAGATGAAAACGGCTGCTGATGCTGGGTTTGATCCTGAACTACTGAAAGCAATTTGCCGAGCAGTGTTCGGAGGTTTTTGCAATATGCCAGAAGGCGACAACGTTGTCCAAGTAACTCATCAGCACGAATACTCATCGCTAAAAATTTGCAACGCCACATATCAGCTGAAATTTCCAAATTCTCCGCTCGATCATGATCATGATTCAGCTGAAAACGGAAAAATCAGAAATGCAACGTCAACAACGAGCAAAAACAGATCATGAATACTTCTGTGAAGGAAAATATTTTGGCATTCAGGGTTACAGTGAAAATGCTGCCAGTTGCATCAACTGTGAACAGGAGCACAATGCCAAAGCCGCTTGTCCCGAAATCTCAGACAGAACATTCAGACAAGATGCTAAGTAAATGAAGTGGGCATCCTATTCTAGTGATGTTGCCGGAATGTTTCCGTTCGCCAGGCGCAGACATTACAGTACTGGACTGCAAACCTCCAGTTAGTACAGACCAGCTGCTCGATGTATGTAGAGTATCTTCGAAAGCCAACTGAGCCGTCGAGTGCTTTGCTTAGCTGGAAAATAGTGGAAAATTGAAAAAAAAATTTAAAAAAAGCATTAAACCTGCACTTCGAATTTTGTCATTGTATGAGCGAGACGAACTTTGTCTTCGCTAAGTGACTGCACGTGACATGTTAAATCATCA